AATTTAATTAATAAATAATTATTATAAATAAAAATTGAATTAGATAATAAGTTAAAAAAATCTCTACAAATTCTTTCATTAAATAAAAACTTCTAAAAATATTTTTATATAATATAAAAATTCATATTTAATATACAAGAATTAATTTTAGTTAATTTTATAAAAAAAATGTTATTTTTACTGTCATAAATTTTTTAACTTTTGAAATTAAATAGCCATTACAATTATCATTAGTTAGTTATATAACATACATCCAATTATCATATCACTTCAACGATGACTCTAAAGTGAGATGTGATATTATACATGTCTAGATGTATGTCATACTATTAATAAGTAATAATTTAAGTTATTTTTAATATTTTTAAAAGTTGTGAAAACCGAAATGGACAAAAGAAATTAAGTTGACTAAAATCAGATTTGACTATATTTATTCAAAATCAAAATATATTTTATCCCGTGAATTATATAAGTCAATAACTATTTGCCCAATATCCTAGTTACTTATATATATCTATATATATATGTAACGAAACTGAATAACGCAAAGGTATAATTTTAGGGTTTAGTGATATGTTTAGTTCAGGAAGAAAAATAATAAAGAAAGAAAAGAAAAATATATAAATATAAAGTGAGATAATGTTTAAGTTATTTAATAAAAGAGAAAATGAAAGGGAAAAAAAGATAAAAGAAAAAGGAGTATAAAATAAAATAAATACCTTAGATAAAGAGTTATATGTGATATAAATAATTTTATTTTTTAATGCCACAATATGGATTCACATATATAAGTGATTAACATCATGCATGAACTCTAACATGTTTCATTGGTATGGGTTTAATTACTTTGTTATCACCCTCATTTGATACTTAATACGCAAGCCTTCCAAGAGATTTTATGATGGCTGAGGACTACTTCATTATTTTTTATTTACAGAAAAATGATATGTCCTCCGAAATTTTTAATCAAAAGAATCTCCCAACTTTTAAAATTTTAAAATATTAAAATTAAAGAAATGTTTTAAATAAAATTGTTGATAGGTGTGAATTGTTTTTCAGTTCAGAGGATGATTTAGATGAATGATTTCGAAAGATATAGCAAAAACTCTTTTATATAAGATTTTTTTTAAAAAAATTGTTTGCCTTCTTAAAAGTCTCTTCTCAAATTTTCTAATGCATTAATTATTTTTTAACTAAAATATATTATTAATTATTTTATTATTTTTCTAGTCAATAAATAATAAGTAGTATAAATTAATAAGATAATTTTATTCTCTCTTGTGATCGTTTGGAAAAGACGACAAGCACATTAATTAATCAAGTATAAAGTAAGTGGAAAAAATAGATGAATTCTAATAATTATAAGGATAATTTTTTTTAACAAATGATACTAATTAACTAAATTAACCAACTTTCTTAATAAATATGAATTAATGAAAAGAGTCTTATATACACCTATATATGAGTAAAGATAGTGGTTTAATAGTTACAACTAAGTGATAAAACTGTTTATAATTTGGGTTTATATAGTAATTTTTTAGACGAGTTCTCTCCTAACCGTTCCTTTTGTATAGTAATTTTTTAGATGAGTTCTCTCCTAACCGCTCCAATATGTCATTTGTGTCTTGCTCTCATTTTATATATTTTTTTCACACTCACTCACAAAAAGTATTTTTATTTTTTATTTTTATAAATGATCGCTTCTTCCCCTCTTTTCGTCCCAAATTAATTGGATGGAACACCAACTCGTTGGACTCATGTGTAGTACCCATGTTGGGCCACTCTAAATGAAGAAAAAACAAAAATGATCAATGAGATATTTTTCATCTATTTTAATTCAATTCATTCTTTTCATTTTTCATGAATCAAACAAATCCTGAAATTAGGCTCATAGTAGCCCTTACAAGATTAAAAAAAGATAATAATAAATAAGAATAGAAGGAATAATAGTAAAGAAGTGAAAAGCATCGAGGATGAACTCTTGTAACTTAGTGACTTTCTTATTATGCAGCTTAATCAACTAACACCATGTTTGGTTGAGCGTCTATCACAATTGACTCGCTCGTTTCTCCGAAAACAACTTTGTATTGCTCATACGCTCTTTTTCAATTTTTGGCGTTAATTTTATTGTGAACGTAATGCATACGATGGGATTTCAAACATGCACTAAGATGGCTTGATGGTATTATTCATTTTCATGCATATTTATTGTTTGCACGTGCCCAAACTTTTTCTTATTAAATTGACACATTTTTAAACATCGTTTTTATTGCTAAGGTAATCATCATTCAAACCCTATCAACAAGAGAGTTGAGAAATAAAAAAATGTCAAATAATATATTGTTTGCATTTTTCTCAATACATAGTAAGCAATTTATGAATCTTCATTATTAGATTTAGTATTTTATGATAGAAATCACTTGTTTGCATTTTTGTATCCTTTTTATACTCCAGAAAAATTATACATTGTTGAAAAATAGCTTTTTAATTTGTTTTTAAATTGATTAGTTTTTTTAGTCGATCTGTCACTTTTTTATTGGGAGAACAAGAAAAAGGGAAGAAAAAAGTATTTTGAATCTAGGAATTCACCTCATCTTTAAAATCAGGAATAAAAGGGGCAAGGGTGAGCCTGGACCCGTGCTCAAATTTTATCAAGAGGAATAATATACATGAAAGTTTATAACCTTCTAATCTTATAATTTATTAATAAATTTGTTTTCATCAAAGTTTATCTCCTTTTAGCTAGTTATTCTTCATTTATATTTTTGGTATAAAAATGTCTCTATTTCACATTTTACACACACACACTATATATATATATATGTGTGTGAATTCATTTATTTTTAGAGTAAATCTTAGTAGAGTTAGTTTATTTAATAATTTATATTTTATATCAAATTTTAATAATTTAATTTTTAAATTAAAAGTTTTTAATATATAGATAAGTTTACAAAAAAATTTATATGAGAAGAGATCAAGTTACTCAGAGTAACTTTAAGTAAAGTTACTTTTCTCAATAACTCATGATGTATGTTGAATTTTAAAGATTCAACCATTAAATTAAAAATTATTATTATATGGATCAAGTTTACAAATTTTGTAAAAATTTGAAAACCATATAATATTGTGTTATATAGATTCAAATTAATATATAAAATATTTTTATAATTATTCATCAATTTA